CTTATCTCTTCAATGGAGCTATTCATGTGTTTGGTGAGTGCAGGATTCTGGCCTTGGCTAGCTAACTCCATGTGTAGTCAAGTATGCAAAAGAGCATTCAGCTGTTAGCAAAGTACCAGAAACCATTTATTTACCAGCCCTCCAAGGCTTGTGTGACCCTACAGAGAAATGCTTTAAATTAAGTCATCAGTTCTTTGTTACCAGAAGCCCAAAGCAACACAGCACACGCTTGTATACTTCTTTCTAATAAGTGCTTAATATTCTCTCCTTTGTTTTGGAACCGGCGAACTCCCTACTCCTCTGCATTCGGTTTCTGGCAGAGTTCAAAGCTACATGGTTCTACTTTGTGCCATCTATCAACTGCATTCATGTCACCAAGGAACTGGCTTTCTTAATTGGCACTCTCTCACCCCCTGGCGGCTGGCTAGCTGGCAGGTCCTAAATGCTGTTGCAGCAATCGGCTCTAGATTGACGTGACTTCCATGCCTCTACCGCTGCTAGGGACAAGTTCACTAAAAGATGCTAATGACTAAGTAGTGGCGGTTGAATGGTGTAACCTGCTTCCAGTCCCTTTCAGGCCGCAGATGAATATTACGATGCCTATTGTCTAGTTTACTAAAGAAAATTTGAATGCAGGACAATTAACTCTTAATTTATAACGTGTTTGGAAAACTCATTGCATCTATTTTAAAGCGTTCTGTTAGGGCTCTAATTTCAGGAGGTTGACTGACTTTTTCAGTTGAAAAAATGGCTATGAATTCACTGGGATAATCGGAATTTTAATGCAAATGACAGCAGAACTGGAAACAGTCCCTGTAAATCAGCTGTATCTGCAGATCTGGAAAATCGGCAGAAATTAATACTCATTGTTTACAGTAACTGGCAAGCAGAGGCAGGGCCTAGCAGAGTCTGGCAAGGGGGCATGGAAGTCATGCAACACGGGGCTGTGGCCAGCATCCTTTATACTCGTATAGCTGTGCAGGGCTATTGGCCCTGCTCTGACCGTGAACCGTAGCATGCTGCTTCATCCCAGCCATGATGGACACAATTGGGCTGTGTCCATGCAGCAGCTTTTTTTTCATAACACAAATGTGTTGGTACCATCTGTGCTCCTGCAGTGTTGCTTAGCTGGGAAAACCTTGAACCTATCCTATTCTACCTTAACTGGGGATATAAACTTCAGATGTGTAACATAAGTGCCATGATATATGGAAGGCAAAGCACTCTGGGATGGGCTGCCGGAGAGCTGGGTGAAAGGACACAGCAGGGAGTTTGCATCTCTATTGCAAAAACAAATCCTTTTAAGAACACTGTTTCATGAACTGGTTTGAGGAGGGCAAGCCTTTTCCAAGCTGTCAGCAGAGCCAAGACGCTGTTTGTTGTTCCAGTTGCCCGCCATGCTTTACACTTCTATTGTGCGAGGGCAAAAGATTTCAGAGCTAATCTTGAGCAAACTTAAGTTGTAAGATGGATAAGGTCACATTTCCATTCATGCACCGTGCATGTCTCCTGCCATTGCCGTTCCATAGATAGTGGAGATCATGGGGCTATTAATTCATACTTTTCTTGGAAATGTTTTTCTTATTGAATGCTGTTGGTTATTCCAGCCTGCCCCACTCCTCCCACCACACCCACACCCATACACACCCACACCCATCCACACACACACACACACCTTAACCTAATAAACCTGTTCTTGTTTAACAGGATGGAGAAAGACGGTACAGAGAAGCTAGTGCTAGGAAGAAAATTAGACTGGACAGGTGAGTGGAAAAGAACAACCTCAAATTAAAAACAGCCCCACACGCTGGGCAATATGGTGATCTATAGAGAACATTATGGTCCAGCCCAAGTTCTGCTCTGAATGAACGTATGCAGACAACTCCATAGGAGCTGAAACCCACGGCTTTACATACTGGGGAAAGGGAGGAAGGAGGGCTGCACAATGTGGTTCTAATATACTCAAAAAAAAAAAAAAA